TGAAAGCTGTGTTTCCAAGAGGGCAGTGTGGTGCAGCAGCTAGTCGTGCGAAGGATGTATATGCTGCGGAGGACACCGCTGACAACGAGGAGCCCGAGACCGACGGCCGCGATGAGGAGAATGACGTTTTCCAGATCGTGGCGGACCAGATTCAAGGACAACCTGACTACGATGAAGAAGATGCGCTGGATGTGCTGGAGACGTACCAGGATATCAGGCGCAAGATGCAGCAGAAAAAGGTTGGGCGTGGATTCAGGTCAACGAATTCCACGTGGAGCTTGTCTGGACGGGTAAAGGGCCGGTTGGAACAGCTGAAGCAGAAAACGAAGTGCTTTACATGTCAGCAGACGGGACACTGGAAAAGAGAGTGCCCTCGCAGGAAGGGAGGGCACACGTCTTCTTCGGGCCAAGCAAGCTCGACCAAGGACGCGATGATCGCCGATGGTGGCGATGATGAGGCCAAGGAGGGTGAGTTCTTCATCCCCACAGACCAGATAGATGCCCTGGATGTGTTCCTGGTGGAGGGGAACCAGGGCGATGTCGACATCGTCGTGGCCGGCAAGGACGAGCTGGAGTGTGCTGATGTGAGCGCCGCTTTGGGGGACCTTGATCGTGAGCGGCTTCTTTTCCAGAATTTTTGTGAGAATGCACCGGACGCCGACAGTCTGAGCGATGCATATATGGCCGAGAGCGGTGCATCTGTAGGATTTGCTGATCTGTGTACTCATGCAGTTCCCGATACCGCATGTCGTAGGACCCTGATAGGTGAGAAGTCTCTTGAGGGGTTAGTCGAGGCCTTAGGAAGCAGAGGGCTGAAGGTTAAGCATCTTAGGGAAAAGCATGAGTTCAGGTTTGGCAATGCAGGTAAACTTAGCACGAATCGTGCCGTAGTGATCCCTGCATGTATAGGGGGTAGGCTGGTAGCACTCAAGGCAGCTGTACTACCAGCAGCAGGGGCTGAGACACCACTCTTGTTATCTAAGGAATGTCTTAGGGGTTTGAAGGCTACTTTGGATATGGAGAATGATGTTTTAGTTGTTAGGCGGTGCGGGGTGCAGATGAAACTTCGAGAGACGGAACGAGGGCAGTATGCGATTCCTCTCTTTGAGGGTCTTGGTGTCATGAATGAGCCAGATGTGACTCAGAAGATGCAAGTGAAGACGCACGAGGCGAATGCCGTAGAGAGTTTTGGTTCTCCACGTGTCCGAGTAGTTCCCTGTCCCGCTGGCCAAGAAGGTCATGAGCTACCTGCCGGAAGACATCAACATGGGAGCGCCAGTGGAGACGTTCACGAGGACACCTCTGATCGACAGTTTGCTGCAGGAAGTGGGGCCACAGCTGGAAATCGGACAGCACGAGCTCCCGGCAGCAACGCTGGACCAGATGTCGGACAAGGAAGAAGACGCGCCAGACGGGCTCGTGCACGGGCTAAGCGGAAGGACAATCTTCAACATCGGCAAGTACATGAAGACGGGGCGAGCAGTCAGCTTCGAGATCGCCTACCAGACGGACAAGGCATATGTGGCAT